TATGTATATATATATATAACTATATATATATATGAAGAAACCAATAAATGTGTGTGTATAGATATTGAGCTTAGAGTATATAACACACATAATATATAAATCTAAAACTATATTACACAAGCAATCTTGATTTTCAATTAAGCTTGACTTGGTACACTTACGGATGAAGCTTGAACTTGATCTTTAACTTGAATTGTATAGGCTTCAACCCGACATTCCGCCAACCTCCTTTGGATATCATCGTTGAAGCGCAATCAACAACGTTGTTTGTTTACAATACATAGGAATGCACAAACACTAGACAAACAACATTAGTAGTAAATTGTTTGTAAATCATCATCAAAATAAGAAGGCCAACACTCTCGAGGTGATTCGCTTTCGCGGCGAGTGGGCGTGTCGGCCACCAACAATTGGTATCAGAGCCCTTGTTCATATTGGGGGTGGTAGAGCTTCCGATTTGAGGTGATGCTTGGTTATTGTGTGGTGCACACAATGTGTTTGTTGAAATTCCTGAGAGAAGCGGATTTACTAAAACAAACGGAGAATGACGTCTACCAGTAAAATAGTTAAAGTTGGAAAGTATGAGATTGAAAAGTTCAATGGGAAGAATGATTTTTGTTATTGGAGGACGCAGATGAAAAATTCGTTGATTTCGCAGAAATTGCACAAGGCTTTGGCAAGAAGAGAAAAGAAGCACAAAGATATATAGCACAAAGATATATCTGATGAGGGTAAGGAATAGTTCGATCTCGAAGCACGAGCGTCGATTATCCTATGCCTTGAATATGAACAATAATATTGGATTATATACAGATTAGTGTTGTACTATTGTTGTACTATTGAATATGAACAATAATATTCAGTCTGATCAAGCACAAGAAGCGTTATGCACGTTTAACGCATTTCCTGTCACAAAAATAGTGTTGTACTATGCCATGCTAAGTTTATGCACCAAACTTAGCCAAAGACTAATGATCAGCAAAAGCTTGGAAAACATTTACTAATAATCCCAACCTCTTAATATCACAGTCATATGAGAAAACAACAAACTAGTGAGTACCAGAAATCACAGTACCACATGCTACACGCAAACTTTTAGATGAAAAACCTGCCACAAACTAAGTTCTTCCTCCTCTTCTGAGATGAATCTATAATTTTTAGATGATGAAAAGCCTGCATCCAACTCACAATTTCTGGTACAACAATATCAACTTCTTTCAAGGACTAGTTACAAACCTGTGTTCTACAGAAACTTATCCACAATAACCACAAGAATCCTGTTGACAAATCTTAAATTCAGTATAAATATCAGAAACAAAAGAGAAAAACATTAATCCAATCTCTTCAATTATAGTATATATCCTCAACAATTTGTCTCATTGCGAATCTAAACACACTCCCAAGGCTTCAATGGACCCCAACAACAACAGCAGCAGCAGCGTCACAGCAACAATCGATCTCCTTCTCCAAGCGAGAATACTGCTGGAGATAATTCTCCATCCAACAAGCTACTTAGCAGTACTACAGAACTGGCAATCCTTCTACAATACAAGAACTCCAAAAAAGCTGATGCTCTTCACCTCAACCGGCTGGGTTGACCTCCCATCAAAAAATGCCGAAGAAATCAAGAAATGCTTTGAGCACCGATGCCTGGCAACAAAAATCGAGATTGGCGGCTTTGAAATCGTAGTAAATCTTATTGGCATGATACTGATAGACTCATGCAGTCGCATGACCTCTATTGCCTGGATTGATACACAAGGGAAGTCATTTTTTCCTAAGAAAATATATGGTGGAGGCAGAGTAAGGTCACTGGTGCCGCAAGTATTAGAGGAGGCTGGGAGGGTTTCGTTCGGCTCTTTACTGGATCTCGGGAGGTTGGAGGAGAGTAATGATGAGTACAAAACGGTGAAACAAACGTTTATGAAGGGAATGAGGCTTAGAGATCACAGAGAAACTGCAGAGGTCATGGCAGTGTACTCTTGTACACATGCATCTAGATTTGGTGCTAATTGGCGTTGGGCATTCGGAAGGATAGCTCAAATCGGAGACAATTACAACAATATTACGTGCGGATGGTATGGCGCAGATGCGAAAAGCCTGAAGAACATTATCACGAGGGGTTTCGGGCTTGAAGATGCTTTAATTGGGAAATTCGGCACAGGCATCTATTTCTCATCAAAAGACCGATCTGCCTTATGGTATCTACTCTTACCAAGATTACGTAGTATATATAGACTTTATATTCTGTTACATTACACTTGGGAATAAATATAAACAATTATTTTGTTAAGATCTATTCATCAATTTCTCCGTTATACCAAGTATTGGAACATCTTGAGGAACAAATATTCCCTAGGTAGGTAAGTGCATGCTTTTCATGCACTTTTTAACAGACAGGTTAAAGTTTTACAAAATATATCCAACATACGGCAATGAACCTAACACAATATAATAAGTTTGTTTTATCTTTGTTAAATCTATAACTGCTTTCATCAACAAACAAACCATTCTGTAATTCTGTAATTCATCAACAAGCAAACAAACAAACCATTCTGTAATTCTGTAATTCATCAACAAGCAAACAAACAAACAACATATGTGAAGTTGTCATTTGAAGAGTCATGCACATAAAAGAAAAATTCATGGCCATACCTCGGGCTGTCCAACAATGATATGGACCTTCATTTTACTGTCATCACCATCAACATAAGTAGCGTTATTTAAGATACACGGGAAGACAGTAACATAATTAGAGCAGATAATAGATATCTCTATCAAATTGCATAAAATTGTGGTTTCCTTTGGAAAGATCAAAAACTTGGGGTTACCTTTAACTTAGGATGTTACATGAACTTTGGGTAACACGATTTATTTGTGAGCAAGGTGTTCAGAGATCCTTTCACATTTGTCATATATTTGATCACGGTTAAAAAGTTTGGTTCTTTTCAAGAACTAATCGAATAATTTATGTGTTCCCAGTGCATGTCTCTCAAAGCCTGATGCTGATGGGGAATATCATGTGCTACTGTGCCAACTTATCTTGGGCACAGCAGAGAGGGTTACTTCCGGATCTAAACAATGTGGCCCAAGTAGAGAAGGTTATGATAACGGCGTTGATGCCCAATTGCATACAAAATATATTGTTATTTGGAGTGCAAATATGAGTACTCACATAATACCTCGATATCTGTTGAGCTTCAAGATTTCACAGCTTATTCAAGGTAACCATTCTTTTTACCTGATTCACATACTAACAAGACATTTCTTTCTCGCTCTTGACATTGATTTCTTAACATTAAAACCTATTGTAGAACGCTGGAGAAGGGTGCATTACAAGCAAAGTTTGAATCAGCAAGGGCTTCCTACACCCATCCCGCTAAGATCTCAAGTAACATCCAAAATTTTCAAATCAGCTTATTTTTTATGCAATTGTTCTTTCTGCGATTTTTAGATCCTGCTAACAGAATGATCCTCTGCTGGGTTGTTTTCTCATGCAGACCTTTCTTCCAAGGGGTCCTCGGTACATGGAAAGATACCAGAAAAACAAACAATTTCGCTAAGGGTGAATATGAAATCTATTTCTATAGATAATACTAATGTTTCAGAGTTTTAAGTGTGTATGTCAAGATATTATCAGACAAGCGTTTGTGTAACTTTAAAAGGGTGAACATATAGAGCCTACTGTGTAATATTGTCTGAACAGCTTCTATATGTTTTTAATGTTCGTTGAAATTGTGCTTGTTTGAACAATTGTGGTAGTTCTTTTTTGAGGTAATTAATGAGCGTGATAGTTGTACAAAACTTTCAAAGAACGGTCATATTAATCGACTTCTTACTGTGTGAAAGAACAAAGAGAGAACTAGCAAACGGGAAGTGCTTCATGCCGCTAATGTGATTTAATATTGAAGTTAAAAGAAATACATGTCTGAAAGTAGTTCGGGAAGTGCTTCATGCCGCTAATGTGATTTAATATTGAAGTTAAAAGAAATACATGTCTGAAAGTAGTTTGAATGAAGAGAAAAGGTAAGTTAGTGATTTAATATTGAAGTTAAAAGAAATACATGTCTGAAAGTAGTTTGAATGAAGAGAAAAGGTAAGTTAGAGCAAGAGAAATGGCACCGAATGTGCTGAACAATAAAGAAATCTTACTAATGCCTCTCCTATATTTAAGAACTTACGAGTTAATTGTATCTTTACTGGTGATATATGTTCATCTCACTTGTGGTGTACTTCTCAGAAAATTCATGCCACCTTTTTTCAGCAAGAATATTCACAATAAAACTTAAGTAGCCCCTTACAAAAAGGCATCCTCTCAGAAACAAAAGAGTCATCAAGAAATCAAAGATATTGCTAACTTTAGAAGAGTGTCTGATACATTTCTAGGTCATTGTGAGAATAAATAGAGCCTTGGGATACGGTCAACCCTTACTGATTAATGTTAATCTCATCTTTAAAATATATACACTATTCTAACAACAAATTCAGAGGCTAATTTATTCTAGTCAACTTTTAAGGTTTTGAGCAAATATCGGCTGAAGCTTCCCCAGCTTGGTAGAGATGTGATATTTCTGTGTTCAACATGTCTGTTTGAGTCCTCATTATATATAGATATATCCAATAACACCCCCCCCCACCCCTCCAAAAAAAAATTATGATAAAAGAGTATAATCTTTTTTACAAATTCCCCCCTCATTCTATGTCACCATGTATATAAGAAGCTAGGGGAATATTCTATTAAACAGGCTACATAAGAGGAAAACTTTGGAGGAAAGCAACACATAATTCGGGAAAATATATGGTAGAAGAACAATTAGGCCATAGGCTCAGAATTATTATTGAAGAACATACAGTTTGAACGCTCAATTGACAACAATGCATTAACTGCTATAAGAAACTAATGAAAAAAGAGCACACAATATAAGGAAAACATGCCTGAGAACTCAAATAAAGAATCCTCTCCTATAAATGACAGAGAAGGAAGGAAAAAAAATACTAACTGTCGTTAAACGCCAATCGGTTCTGGGTAAGGCTGAAATCAACAATCAAACATAGGGTTTTGGTCAGAATGGAGTTCAAGTTTGTGTAGCCAATTCATGTTGTTAGAGTCCTCATTCAACACCGATGCATGCTTTCATAGAGATCAAAATCAATTTTCCTCATGATTAGGGGCTTCCCGCTTCTGTCATGGAGATCTATTAGCTGCCAAGTCTCGATAATCAGAGATACTCCTGTTGCAATCCAGAAGAGCAAATTCCACTACAGCTACGATTCTCTACTTCATCAGCTGTCATTACATATAATATAATAATCTTTGTCACAAGTCATATTTCTGATATATGAGCTGGAGTGCCACGAATCCGATCTTATATTATTTCTTTCTTTTATGCTTTAGGAGTAACTGTTTAGTATATACTATTACCAATTGTTTGGATTAAGTTATTTGTGTATCTCACTCTGTGTATATTCTTGTCCCCTTAAATGTTGTCTACTGATGATGCAATTAAACTATCCCCTTTTCTGATTTACAATATAATTTAACTAACTTCAATCTTAAAAGCTAAAGAATCATTAAGATTCCTGATATTTTTCTAATGCAATGCAGTCAAGCCGGCATAACCGGGCTCTTCAACGCCATGATTCAGATAATCTCTACATTGCACACCTAAGACCGGATGAATTCACATAAGAATAAATGCTAAACAACTAAAAAGTCATTATAATTTCATAAATGCATTGAAAATTTGAAGCCTAAAATGTCTGTAGGCATAGCAAATGCATATAGTTCTTTATTGAGTTCAGAGAAGGCAATTTCCAGAGCTAATATTTTCTAAATAGATATACATTTTCATATTTTAAAAACAAAATTAAAATAAAAGGTTATATTCGCTCCTAACATATACACTTTCATATATTACATTGAGAATAATAATAATTCCTGCTAAAATAAGGTTCTTTTATTATGTATCAACACAAAATAAACCATTCTAAGATCCATACTCAGCCAAGATTAAGCAGCTAAAATCTAAAAATGTCCAAAACATAAATTAATTTCGCAAAAGAAAAGTGAAAATTACCATACGTAATCGTCTATTTTCATATCCCCAAATTCAGTTCATCCCTCTTGTGCCTTTCCAAATCCACCACTCCTTCAACTACAAAATAGCAATAACAAATCAGTTCGTAAACAATAAATTACATTAAAAAAAAGCAGGAATCCAATGTCAATAGATTATCCCCAATTTTTTTTAGAGTAATACTTTAGTATGTCAACCAAAACCTATAGCTCAGTAAATTCTGTTAAAATCTAGCTTGATTCGGATCAATTATCCGCTAAAATTAACACTACCCAAAAAAAAGATAATTAAGATGATGGAACATCCAAAATGAGAGTCAGAGAACATAGCACTCGGTGGACTTTACATGGTCTCAATGTTGTATCATTTTTGTAACTACCAATGAGAGACACGTAAATACTGGATTTGACAATCACTACAAATCGAAGCACATAAATTGTGGAAATTATTTACGAATTGTACCATCAGTATCCAGAATCTATTTTTGAATAACAAGGACGTTCACATAAACTAATTGAGAAAGGAGCATATAGTCAAGTAAGACATGTTGAATCCCAAGTTTCTGGTTTAAGTCAGAGAACATAAGTCAAGAGTATGCACAAATTTCCAATTAAAAATGAAAATATAAAATTAAAGGTTGAGTCTAACTCTGTGCATGTACCTGTCTGGTACATAAGAATCAAGCATGACAATAGCAAGAAAGAAAAGTAGTTGATAATAATTGAAGTAAACTCATATTTGTATTCTATCTGAATGGTTGCGCAAAGAACCTTGTCTAACCGTACAAAATAAGATCTAATGGTTGAGTTAACTCATTTTACATTGGTGGTCTACCTTACTCCTGTCCACAACCATTGCCGAGCTGAATTTCCTACATCAAAAGTCCTGTTGGTTACCATTCAATTCTGATCCAGAGGTTTCAGGCTAAACATTTATGCAAAAGCTTCCAAATCTACAACTTCCAAGTAAATCCACGCGGTGCAAATAAACCCATATCAAATAATAGCAACAACTGTAAGAAGCTAAATCCTTGAAAGTGTACCATGATACAGTTCTTGAAGGGCATCACCTATCTCTTGCACAATCATCGCCTTCTCATCTCCGGAGCACGTAACCATAATAGCTTTCTCACTTATCACACCTAATGTAATTTAATCTAGATAAAATTGGAGAAAGAGGCAGCTATTTATTTGTATAAAGAAAGAGAATGATGCAAGTGAGGTAAGTGTGAGGTTGTTGTTACAATACCTCGAGACTAAGGAAATTATTTAGTTGTATAAAGAAAGAGAATGATGCCAAGCATTTATAAGCTGTTGAGACCCTTTTAGCACCATACACCTGGAGACTAGATAGGCATATTTCAAAACTGAATCGAGAGATTAAAATTGTATTGCAATCGACTTCCTTTTACATTTAGATTCAAAAAGGATGATGTAGCCTTTTATAATTTGAAGATTCGTGAAATTAAATGAATATTCTATTTATATAGACGAGGAACATGGCAATAAGAATAAGAGAGGCCGCCAACCGTATTGGGTGAATTCAAATTGAACTTTGATCTAGTTAAATATTCCTTTAAATATTGCTTTAATTTAGTTGGCATCATCATTTGACAATGCACAGGATCAAAACATAATTAGATACCTGGACCAGAGTAGACTTGAATTTGGCCAAGTAAATCCAATGTTTACCAAGTAAAATAGAAGTCATATCAAATCAGGGCATTATTTTGCAAAAATTTCAAAATAGGGCGAGACAGCGTTTGAGCACTATAAGCAAAAAAAAAAAGAGAGAGAAAATGAACCTTGTAAGGAAATTCAAAAGATTCATGGATATAAGTCACTTTTAGCAACATACCATACCGTATCATCTATTTCAAAAAATTCAAAGAACACCAATCATGCTATTCAACGTATGCAAGTTTAGATACTTCCTCCTAGCTTCATCGTCCATTCACTTTTAAGGAAACTCATAATTTCTGATAATGTCCACATCCTTTGGGACAAGTTACGTTAAAACCTTCATTCCTGGACAGAAAATGTTCGGCAGTATCTACCAAAATTACGCGACAAGTCTCATGTTCAGTATAAATGTCAGTAGTTCCTTAGACAAGACTCACCACCATTTTGAAAAGCCTACTTGTTCTTCCACCCTCAAAAATCTCGTCCCACCACCAGTCAAAATACACTATGGACCCCGACTCCAACAACATTGCAGCAATTGATCTCATTCTCCAAGCGAGGCTGCTGCTGGAGATCATTCTTCATCCTATGAGTTGTTTGGCAGTCTTACACAACTG